GAATGAAAACTACAATAATTCATCTTAAATGGGAAAAATAGGATTTACTAATATTTGTAACATGTGTGTAACAAGTAGGCGTTTTTTATGTTTATTGTAGCTCAATACAATGACCTGTAACCCCAGACTTAAAAAGAAAAAAAATCTTTCAACGTTTGATGCTTAGACTAATAATTATTCCTATTATTTATTATAATAGCCCATTTTATGAATCTAACCTAAGTGCCTATAAATACCATTATTATAAAAAATATTCTGTATGGCCAAATTCAAATCACTAAATCAATTTTGTCTGTTAATAGGTGTCTAAAGGACTGTGGAAAAAATATGGCGACAAAAGAATCTGGGATACACCTATTACTGAGGTAAATTTATATAAATTTGGGAATGGAAGAAATAAATTTCCTCTTTCAGACCATGCAGTCTATAGGACAGATGATGTAAAGTTCTTCTGTTTCTGTGGCCCACTGTTAACGAGAGCTGGGTGGACTCAGAGGCGCTCTAAATATCCCGAAATAAAAAATCTTATCTTCACCAGGACCCCTCGGTTTAGAAGCCAAGCGCTTTACAACTCAGCCACTGTGCCTCAAAGAAATAAAGGATTCACCAATTACTATGTTAAATAAAATAAAAAATATTGTTTATTGATGTAATTTATAAAGAAAATGAGTATTACAGTTTGGGTAGACAAATGCATAAAAAAAATTGTGATAATAATCTTTGTAATTAAAATTTAAATAACTATTAATTTTAGTTTTGAAAGAAAACTTATATTTATATGTTAAATGGTAAGGTGTATATTATTGGCCAAGCTTCAACCCTGAAGGAACATCCGAAACTAGTAAAACATTTTACAAATATTTTTTTACTGGTGTAGTTGGTAGATACATAGCATGGTGAAGTAGAAAAGTTTTTGGCTTCCGCTTATTTTTTTTAGATCTCTGTATGGTTGAAAAGAAGCTAGGTCTAACAAAAATCAATTTTTTTTTATCTTTATGTGAACAGATGGGCTTTGCTGGAATAGCAGTAGGAGCAGCTATGGTAAGTGTGTAATAATTATGAGAAAATATATGTTTAAAAAGTCAATTTAGAAAAACATACTGCTATAGTAATGGTACAAAAATATTTGTATAAAACAATTTACATTAAAAAGCAGCAGTTTGTACTTTATCTATTAATCTATTAAAACTATACTATTTTTGTACATTTCTTTTATGTAAATGAGCGGCAATGTTTATTTGGTGTATTTTTAGGCTGGTCTTCGTCCAATCTGTGAGTTCATGACTTTTAATTTCTCTATGCAAGCTATTGATCAAGTGATAAACTCGGCTGCCAAAACATTCTATATGTCCGCAGGCACTGTAAGATTTTTTTCCTATTTATTAACATATAAATACATTTGTTGTTCTTTAAAAATGTTTAATATATTGATTACCTCAAAAGCCATTTACTTGAAAATAGCATTTTAAATGAATTTTACCGTTTTTTTAAGCTCATAATTTTATTTTGGCTTATTACAAATGATTGTGTTATCTATATAAAAGATAAAGTTAAAATTGTTTTGTCCATAAAGTTTAGAAGCACCTAACCTCTTTGTTATAAATGCTTCATGCTTGTTTTATTATCCTTCTGTTTGCCAGATATAATTTAATTTAATGCTATAAAGTATAACGACTTCAGTGGACAAATATCAATTTTAATATAAACTGCACTGACATGTTTCTGATATAAAGGTTATTAAGACCGAAATGGTTGCGCCCCAGTTGGTCCCACTAATTGGATTCAACTGTATCCCAAACCTACCTATTAAAATGTACTCTGCTTGATTCTGTGGCAGCACGTCCCTTCTTATCATACTTCACTTCATTCTCGCCTCGTTTTTACTTCGTAAAACTGGCTATCAGTCTAATATTTCCCTAATAGATTTAAGATTTTAATTCTCACTGCAATGATGACTAAACCTTTTTTTTTTTTTTTTTTTTTTTTTAAAAGGTTCCTGTACCTATAGTATTCAGAGGGCCAAATGGTGCCGCAGCTGGTGTAGCAGCTCAGCATTCCCAATGTTTCGGTGCATGGTACAGTCAGGTACCTGGTCTCAAAGTCATTTCTCCTTACTCTTCTGAAGATTGCAAAGGACTGCTGAAGTCTGCCATCCGTGACCCCAACCCAGGTGAAATGTCTATATATTTTGATTAGTGACTGAGTGAGAGGATAGTTTACAAGTTTGTGGTTTGTTACTTGGAAAGATTTATTTGTATAATTTTGTTTCATTATCTATTTTTAGTTGTCTTCCTTGAAAATGAGCTAATGTATGGTGTCTCAATGCCTATGTCTGATGAAGCAATGTCTAAAGATTTTCTGATTCCTATAGGCAAATGTAAAATTGAAAAAGCGGGTAAGCTTTATACAGAAATTCTTATATCCTATGTTTATTCATATATATTTTGCATAGGTGTGCCTAGATAGGCACAAACTGGTCAACTCCTTCTCAGTCACACACACACGAAACTGTTGTAATAACCACATGATTATATGGATATTTTCTAAGCTCTTAACAGAAAGGCATCAACCGTTAATTTTGTAAGTTCAAAATCCTTTAAAGAAAATACAAAATCTGTTACAATTAAAACAACAATGATTTTGGGGGGGGGGGGGGGGGGGGGACAACAAGAAAGCTATTGCAGAGATGTATAGAATAATTTTGTATTAGTATGGGAAAATTAAATTTTGGTTTAAAATCTGCAATGTATTAACAATGAGCTGTTTATAAATTTTGGAAAATGTAAAACAGATATTTAGACTTCTTTCATAACAAATATCATAGCAATATAAATTTTTAAAAAATCATTTATTCAATATTTCTCAGAAATTATCTTAAGAACTTAATTTATTAAAGTATTGGTTAACATTCTGCTACTAATTTTCTGGACTGATTTTTTTTTAAAAGGATGTTTTATTATAATTTACATATTTGATATTACTTGAATTATACATCAACATACATGTATCACTTACGCTGCCTGTGATGCATAATAAGCATCTTCAACAAGGACATTTTGAAACTAGCCAATATGCACAGCATATATGCTCTTCTAACAGAGCAGACCATGCTGGTTCAGACTTGTCACCATGCATGCCAGATGGAAGAATTGCTAAAGACATATTATATGCTGAGCTTAGTGAGGGAGTCAGACCCAAGGGTCGCCCAAGACTTACCTGCAAGCGTGACATGAGAACCACAGGCATCAATGAAAGTATGTTGGAGGAGATAACCCAAGAGACCAAAACATGAAGACAGACCATGCGTGCTGGTACGAACCTTGCCAATAGCAAAAGAAATAAAGCTGCCTTAGTCAAGAGAAGGAAAAAGAAAGCTGCCCTGTCAGCTAGCCCTAAAACAGATGCATATATATGCACGAACTGTGGCAAACTCTTCCGCTCCAGAATTGGCTTGATCATTCACACAAGATTCTGCCCGTCTCAAGACAAAACCAAAACCAGTGACTCATCAGGTGTTTTCAGAGACAGAAGTAGCCATACACAATATTACATCAGCAGTAATATAGTCAATGAATATGTATTTTATTATTCCTTCTGAAAGTAATGTAATTTGACTAGACTTTTCTGGGATACTCAGTTATAGCATAGTCTTAGAAACTTAAAATTTAATTAATTTTTTTTCTATACCTCTAACTTGGAGAAGAAGTAATGACTCTTAGTTATTGTGTAACATTTTGAAATTACTTCATCAATTGATTTTTAATTTTAGACAAACTATGTAGGTTGCAGCTGGGTCTGCTTAGCCATGTATAACTTAAACCTCAGGCTTAAAGACAGTGCCTTGTTTTCTTGCAGGTAAACATATCACATTAGTGTCCCATTCAAAGTGTGTTGGTACATGTTTAGATGCTGCCAAAGAGCTGGCAGGGCAAGGCATTGATTGTGAGGTAAAGTAGCCAATTTATTAAATGTTTTATGTCCAGAAATGCAAAAGCCATAGTGTTGCTACTCAATTCAATAGGACTGCTCAGTCATTTCAATTTGACTTGTACAACACTAGGAAAGTACAGGGACTTAAATTATTAATCTTGAAATATTAAATTGTTAGATTTAGTATTACATTGTGGACTAAGAAAGACACTAAGACAGAGGCACATCTAATTCCATATACTAGAACAAATTCATACTCAACCATTTTTTTTTCTCTCCAATAGCAAAGATCTAAATCTGTTGTTTTTTTTTTAAACCTCTTTGCATTTGCTTTGTGTTGTTACTTAGCAATAGAAGCTGGTGATAATAACAAACATATTTTGTATCCATATAGGTTGTAAATCTCAGAACATTACGGCCATTGGATGACGAGACAATTATAAAATCTGTGATGAAGACAAATCACTTGGTGACAGTGGAAGGTGGCTGGCCACAGTGTGGTATTGGGGCTGAGGTGGCTGCTCGAGTCATGGAAAGTAAGACCTTTTGACCTTTTTCATTTGTGACATTCGATAAAAATCTTTTAATTTAGTTAGTAATTTACATTGAATAAGAATAATATTGTTCTTGCTGTAAGAAAAAAAAAATCTATTATTAACATTTTGTTATGTTCATTTCCAGGCTCAGCCTTCAACTACTTGGATGCACCTGTACTCAGAGTGACTGGTGCTGATGTTCCAATGCCATATGCTAAGAGCTTGGAAGATTTAGCATTACCTCAAGTTAAAAATATAGTGACGGCAGTAAAAAAATCACTAAATGTTAAATGACAGGCTTTTCGACAATGAACTATTCACATATGATCTTCATATTATGTATGTTTATGAGATATTATTTAATGCACATTGGACGAGAGGTCAATTAGCTTAGACTACTAATCAACTGCAGCATACTGTGAGACTCAAGGTTCTAAGTGAATGAGAGATGTAATCTTTAACTTGTTTTCATCTGATCAAATCTTAATTGCAGTTTAGTGTATCTGCTAATTTACACACCCCCCCCCCCCCCCCCCCCCCCCTGGTGCTAGATTCTTTTGCAAAAGACTCAAATTCTGTGAATTAATGAGTTTGTGATGAATAGGTGGATTTTCTTTTTTTTAAATTAATTTCCATGATTTAGACAAATCTTGTATTCCTGATATATAGTTTTAGTATGTAATACTAAGCTATAAGCTGACTTGCCTAGATGTAGTTGCTCAATTATATATATACATGAAGTAAAATTCTACCACATGCTGTAATATAATATGTACACACTTTGACGAGAAATCAATTTTACAGGCAAATGTTTGTTGAATGAGATTATTAGTCGTTTACATTGTGTTGACCATGCAATGTGCAAATAATCTAGTTGTGAAATCTTAGTTCTGGCCCGTTTTTTTTTTGTTTTTTTAAATGTAAAATAAAAGTTTTTCCACAGATATTTTGAGTGACTTATTTCTATACATGTTATTACACTGAACGCCTAGGCTAATTATGGAGTGAAAGGAGTAACAGTAATGGTATGTGGGTTTGTCTCCATTTTTGTTGCTTACCCCCCCCCCCTCCTTTTTTTTCACCCTTGTATCAATAAATTAGATTAGATCTTTTAAAGTTCAAGTTCGGTTCTGTTAGATCTATATTTGGGGATCTATGTTATGAAATTGAGTAATAACAAAATCTTTGTACATGTAGCAATGTTTTATTATTCAATTTATTAGATAAAACAGTGACACCAAACTATATTTACCCTTTGGTTCATTTTAATTTCTAACACTCAATGTTGCAGGCCACATATCAGAAAAGATACAAAACATAATATAAATTACTTTTATTAGAAACTTGTAGCTATAATACTTGCACTAATTCATGGGATGTAGGAAGTTATCCAAAACCAACTTGTGAAAATCCCACTGCATAGATGTGGCACCATGTCGAAGTACTAAATATCTAGATGTTCGTCTGTGAGGCGAATATGAATCAATTTCTCCCCTTTCCACCTGTGTATATAACAGCTTATACTTGTGAAATCAACTTGTTTTTCTTGTACTTGGTTATTGTGTTTATGTAGATAAGATGTGATGTCACTTTAAAAAAAGCCTAATCTCATAACCATGTGGGGTCATTAAGTTGAAGTACTTGCTTTCATTTCTCTGTCATAAAAATTTCTGTTTCGTGTCATGTATCAAAAAAAAGGTTTTAGAACCTTTCCTCTAGAGAACCTTTCCTATACTTGACCAGAGCACTTCACTGTATGTCTTAATATTTGGACAAAAAGTTCTTAGAAATTTTGTGGTTCAAGACTTGAAATGTTATAAAATTAACACATCATCACATGGTCCTGATTTAACGCCTCACTACGGAGGTTGGACTTGACACTTTTTTTAATATCTCTTGGTGCCAGTTCACTATGACATCCAGCCATTGTTCTGGTGGTATCAGTAGTCACACCAATCATAATGTCTGAAACTTCCATGAACAGGTCTTTGCCAGTGGTGGTCCCATGCATGCTCCTCTTAGCAGCTATCTCTTCTGTGTTTTTAAAATTGCTTTTCGTACTGCAAATAAGTACCAAGAGTTGAGCGTTATCAGATATGGCGGTAGCAATAGATATATTTCAAACTCTGATGCTCTGTCTCTTAGTTTTAAATTAAGTTTTTTTAATTGTCATGGGGAAAAGGGTGGTGGCTTCAACTGCATTTTTCTTTTCATGACACTTATCTGCCATCAGTGATCATAGTCCCCCTTTTTGTGCATTGGTCTTCAAAACAGGGCTTCATTTCACTGCTTAAAATGTAAGCAACTCTGTAGCATGTCCTTACCATCAACTCATTTCCTTGTCCCTTCTTGGTAAATATTCTTGTCAATCCTCTAATCTCTAGAGGTAACTTAGAGATGTTATCTTCATGGCTCAAACTATGAATGCTGTCATATTTGTTTATGCTTTGATTTCATAATTCTGTTTAACGTTATGTTCTATAGAAACAGTCGCAAAGCAGACATATTGGCTTATTTTCATGCTCCTCAAAAGGTAAAGATCTGCCCACTTATGCTTGTTTCTACATTCAGAGCCTACTTTTCATTTCTCGAATCTCCCATTTCATTAATGCACAAATATTAAATGGTATGACACCCTTCGTATTGATATCAAAAGCAGACAATTCAAATTTGGTTCATGAAAGATGCACCCACAAGATGTCAAGGACAAGGCCAGCTCAAGACAGTAACAAAATATTAACTGTCAAATCACGTCGCTGAAAAATTATTTTTTTTATAACAACAAAATTGCAAAATCTTGATTCATTTCGGTTTGAATCAATGTTTTAAAGATTGGTCGTGAGGTTCGATATTGTTTGTTTCACAACTCTACAATAAATTTTGTTTACAGAAACTTATTTAAATTCCTTTCATGCGATTTTATGTTTGTCGCCCTGTGGTTCAATCTCATATGTGAATTTGGGAGAAGAAGATTTCAGTACTACCTTCACGTACTCAGCCAAAACAACTAGTTTGAGTTAGGAATTGAACCCAAGTCTCCAAGTGGTTTATGCTACTCAGCCACAAATCCCTCAAATAGATGCAGAAAAACTAGTTTAGATGTGTATTAAATAACACAATTTTAGAACCTATTTACAATCTTTGACTAGCTATAGCAGTGAAACAGTTTTCTATTTACAACTAATAATAAAGCTAAGTTTTTATTAACAGTACATGAGCTATAAAAGTTTCAATGTGTTTTCATAGTTCAGACTTATGGTACCAATATATTATGTCCAAAAAAAAACAAAACACATTAACATTTGCTTGACAGACTTTTATGTTGCCATAAATGCCATGGATATTCAATATAATAATGTTTCAAAAAAATACAGATAAAAATATATAAAGAAAACAAAGGATGTGGCTCACATGACCAAATTACTGTACAGTTTTATAATAAAAATCTAAAATAAAAATTACTGTTACTCAAATTTACAATTTTCTAAAAAAAAAATGAGACAATGCTGGTTCATTAATAATTATTATTCTACTAGGTATCCAAACATGTAGATTTTTTTTTTGAAAGCTTACCAATTTAAAACATTGCACTTAGTGACTCTTAATATTTTGATTTCATGGAAATGCAATAAACCAACTAGTTCAATAAGTTGTTAAAGTCTAGATAATGTAAAGGTGACTCAGGTTCTATCTTCAACTCTGCTTGGCTGTACATTCTTAAAAATGTCAGGAGTATAACAATAAGGACTTCATGACACAACAAAAAACAATAAGCAAATGCACAAGCTGCTAGAGCCACCAGCATAAACATGGTCAAGGGGATATTTTTAATCCAGCTCTTGATCCCATAAAGAAAAAAGTTTTGAGTGATAATCGAAACAGCTTGTTACTGGTGGTGACTTTAGTTAAAGAGGTCAGTAGGCATAGAGTTTTGTTTTGTTGATCTGCTTGTCTGGACACTCTCTAGTTCTGTCATAGTAATAGAAGCAGCCGTCTCGACGAATGAGTTTCTTTATGAATCCATTATGTGGCCATCTGTCCACCTGAAGAAGAGCCAGATATAAACAATGGTGCATGAACAAATGTGGATTGTTTATTTGTTTTGTTAATTGTGACTTCACTTAATATTTTATCTGAACAAAACATGCAGCTTGAAATGCATAGCCAGCTGACATTGAATAAATGTATTTTATGGTTTATCTGATTGAAATAGCTTTCTTTGAAATTTAGGACGACAAAGGCTCCAATTATCTTACTGCATATTTCAGCTTACTATAAAAATATTCATCTTATTATCAACACTTATCTTTGATAACGCTATTTTAGAAGTATTATTAGCATTAGCAGCACCCAACATTTTAAGCAACTTCTGATTAGAGAAATTTCTAAATCTACTCAAGCCTCATCACAACTCTATGAGGGAAGTGTAGTGACTCTAGTGAATCAATCATTAATGAATGTAATAGTTAATTTCACTGAGCAAGGGAGAACAACCTACTAAGATAAAAATAATGAGAAAAGGGCTTCTGATGTCAGACAATTGTTAATAGAGAAATCTGACATTTTCATTCTAGATCTATCTAAATGTTTCTCCTAAGAAGAAGATAATTACACCCATGTGTCAATCTAGTGCGTGTTAATAAGAGACTTAAACTCTAAAATAATTAAGAGTTTTCCTGGCTGTTTCAGGCAAAATGTTCCATGCTTAACATCATTAATTAACTTGACAGTAAACTTTACAATTTTATTAAACATGAGAACTCACATGATCAGTTTTCCTCACTTGCTTGTATTCAATTTCATCTCGGTACCCTGCCAGTTGGAATCTGTATGCTTCTTCTACTTCTTCATTCCATTGTGTTGGTCTTGACATTGACTTAGGACTAGCTGTTGGCATTGTCTCAACTTTGGCCATGACTAGTTAGTAATGAGAAGGAAGAAAAATCATTTCATCTTGTCATACAAGCAGTTCAAAATACTTGCAAGTCTTAGGGTTAATGAATAAAAAGCTTGTTTGGAATCTCTATATTTATGAAATAATCAAAAGGTTTTAAAATAAGAAAGAAAATTGAATGACTGCAAAGGCAAGGGTTATGTGCTTCCAACTGTCATGTTTGTTCTCAATTTGAACTAAAGATTGCCAGCATAACCCATTGTCCTCCAGAAGGTTTGACTATGTGATGTAATAAACTTCATTTCTTAGAAACTTGCTACAATAAAAATAAGAACCAGTAGCAACTGTTCTTGCTAACATTTAAAAACTCTATATCTCTTATATGACCCTACTTCTCATCACACCTAACTCGATCATGTTCACTTTTTCCACTTTCACACTCTGTATTCACCAATTTCACCAAATTACATAAGTAAAATTCACCAAAATACATTTAAGTACAACAAGCTAACTATTTTGCCTGTGACAACAGCCTTAAATATAAGAATATTTCATCATAAAGAATTCTCCAAAACTTGTCATCTTTCAGCTATATATTTTTTTTTTTTCTTATAAAATACAGACGTTACTTCAAAAAAGAAGATGATGACATCCTATGCATATATTTGTGGAACCAGAAGATAAAAAGGATTAAATTGAATTGATGGATAAAATGCAAACTCAAAAAAAGTGAGAGCAAGACATTTGAACACTTGAGGCAATGCCAACTGGAGGAAGGATCCTCTATAAAGTGTCCTGTTATGGACATCTGGTAAACCTCTTCATGTGAAACTACTGAAGCATTTTTTCTTGAATTCTTCCCATTATCTAGATTTAGAATCTAGTTACTAGATCTAGAACTAGAAAAGACTCTATACTATTATGTATACATTTTAAGATCACATAATTATAATAGAGTCTAAGTCAGTAGTATTTACTAGTATTATTAACTATTAATTAACACTACTTCACTATTAGTAGTACTAGTAGGATTCGTCCTATCCTTGTAAA